ACGTACATAGCATCAGACAGAGGTGTCCATAGGGTATGGTTTAAAAAAGCCAAAATGCTGGCCATAATGGTGCAATCCATCTGGTTGTTTTTTAATGTACGTCACAATGACCTTTTTAAATCACCCCTGCATTGCAATGGGTGTAACAAATAGAAGGAAAGAGAGACCCGCATTGAAAAAATTACCACCAGATTAAAACTTAACAGTGAGCCAAGGTGACAAAAGAATCAATAATTTTTAATTTCCAAAAACCTTCCAAGCCAGTGATTTGACTCAGTTTTTATATGTCACTAGGGACCAAGCAAAGGGCAAAATGAGTGGCCAGCAATCTTAGGGCTACCTTGCCTCCCACGTTTCTCCCCCCTCGCTTTTGATGAAACAACACAGAAAGCGTACCTCTAAAATTCAATTTGGCATTGATCAATAGAACGGCCTGAGTTCTGAGCTCCTCTTTAATCTCATTTTCTTGTTATCGTTTTGGATTTGTCTTTTTCATCGCTGAATACCTAAAGCCAGGATGAGACATTCATCCTGGGAGCATCTGCTATAAAGAGCTCAGTGGGCAAAAAACACAGCTGACTCAGAGCCAAAATGGAGGCCGCTTTCCAACTGCTACCACCAAACATTGCTTAGCAGTTCCCTGCTGCACAAAACCGAGGGCTGTTTAGCTATACCTAAAGCCCGTATTTGAGATTGGTCTCTAAGAAGATGTGAGAGGAATCCAGCTAAATCCTTCTTAAGGCCCTAGGAATTATTTCAACCCCATCGTTTGCTTTGTGTAATGCAAGTCAACCACAGGCTGTTTAATTAGCTAAAACGGTGGTTTTTAACCTTTTCTTCACCATGGACCCTCTTTAAACATATGTTGTGGCCACCCACCATGGTCGCGGACCCCCAAGACTTAACTCAAGATTTAAATCATAACATTTTTTGTTTGTGGACCCCCTGTGATGACATCACAGCCACCCCCCACAAGGGTCCACAGATTGCAGGTTGAGAACCAATGAGCTAAAAGATTGTGTTGGGTGTTATCTCTGTTGTGATGAAATGAAAAGGTAGGGCATATCTAGGATGCAGGCCATAAGAACATAAGAATAAGCGGTTTAAAGATCTTTTTGTCCTCCCCGAAGAACTGTGGGAAGTGAAATAATTGTTACCACTGTCACCAGACATGTAAGGAAATTGTGTAGGTGAATCAGAATGAACCCATTACATCTGGAACCCTGACATTCTGTTTTGCTACCATGCCCAAGCAGATGTTCCCACACAAAACAAGCTTTTAGCTCTTTTGGTGTTGTAACAAGGGCAAGAAGCCTACAACATTATGTTGGTGTTTTTGATTTTATATCTTTTTCTGTGAACAAATGTGGGAACAATTTGCTCAGTGCTAAGAAAATTGCCAACTCTGTGGTCTCAGCTGCACAGATGAAACAGAAATAAAGTGCATCCAGTTTAATAATAGCAGTCAGCGTGCTTTTAAATAATGAATAAAACCAACACAATGCACTTTTAAATAATCTGTTCTACAAGCTTTCTGAAACCAATTTTTTTTTAAAAAAATGTTGATGCTCCATGGAAATTTTTCCATTTATGCGGTTTGGTTGACCTCTCAGAGACAGGAGCTCCGTAAAATAACTCTCTTACCCAAAAGGCACAGTTCCAAGGTAGAATCTATGTCACCAACAGTGATGGCACCAGTTAAGGAAAGCAATGCATCTTAACTGATTTAAGTATTAAGTTCCAGTTGATGAGCTGCATCAGTATGAATAACTCATGGACCAAATGCTGATCCAATACCAATACAATTCAGCAGCAAAACTGGCTGATTACCATAATTTTCATTATTTTCCTGAAAATTGGGGTTGGAGTGAGAGCAGGAGGGCTTTCAAAGACTGATCACTCACAACTCTAGTCTTAATCCTTGTGCACCTCCCAAAGCGGCCTGAAACCAGCCCTCTAGAGCAAAGCTGGCTGGGGAATTCTGGGAGTTGAAGTCCTCCAGGCTTAACGTTACCAAGGTTGGACACCCCTGATCTAGAGCCTTGCCATTTTGCCATTGAAATTCATCTCTATGATTTTTTCCCCCTTTGGGGTAAGGGGAAATGAGGGTGGAAATAGGAGCTGGGCTTTCTAATCAGGGAGCTCAGTTGCAATCTTGACTGCTGAAAAGTCACCTGCCATAGTGCTGAAGTGATTGTCCTTGATGGACTGGGGAATAACCGAGACAGCTTTCCCTTTTTAAAAGAGAGTAATTCTTGGAAAGGTAAGATAATTGATGTCCAAAGAAGAGGTAGGTGCAAGTCTTCTCTATATTTTAGAGAGTGTTTAGGGGGTGTAGCATGATTTTCAGACTGGTGCAAACTGAAGGACTTGACAAATCATCTCCAAGTGAAACTAATTATTTGTCCCATAGAGATGGTACATCCAGTTAGCTTAATTGTCTCTTCAGTCTGTGTTCTCAAGCCAAATGTTTGCATATGTCACAGAGATTAATTCATAAAACAATATATGAAATATTTTTGTCCTGTAAGATCCAGGCCCCTAAAGTAGCTTGCATATACACAATAAGAAAAATGCAAACAAAAATCTCAAATGCAAATTATATTATGATATAGTATTAAAAAAAATCCTTATTCACCTCGATGTTTCCATCCTTGTTTCTGTTCCTTGATTGCTATAAACTACAATTTATCTATAAAATTCAATTTATTTATATATTTCCCTCAGAGGGTGGGATTGGAGTTGCTTATATAGGTTTTCTCCATCTTGTACTATTGATTATATTTTCAGATCAATTTTAGTTGGATAGATTAATCTGGGCTTTCTTCTATAAATATTGTTTAGGGACTATCCCAAAGATCTGGACATCTTTTCAGAGGTATAAACAGCTTCCAGAAATCTCCAGCAGCATGGCTATTGATGTGGATTCTAGGAATTGCAACCCGCAGTTCTGGAAGTAGCCATATTTGGGAAACTTGATTTATAATATAAATTTGCTTATATATTTACCCTTGGTGGTACATTGTATAACTATATATTGTTTGATAAGAAAATATAAGGTGTGTATATACAGTATGACATGACATACTGTATGTACACTTGCCAAAGCCAGCTAGGCCTGGTTCTATAACAGTGTTTCTCAAACTTTTCAACTTTAAGCTGTGTGTATTTTAGCATGCTGTCTGAGGAATTCTGGGAGTTGAAGTCTACACATTTTAATGTTGCCAAGGTTGAGAAGCTCTGGTCTAGACCATACATATGAGAAATTACTGCAATCTCTGGTGGAACATGGGGTATAAATATGCTAACTGTTTGGTTGGATATCGTGACAGAACCAAGGAAAAATGGTGAAAGCACCCATTTTAAAAAATATAAACTCTGAATTTATAAACATCTACAATTTGTTATGAACCTAATAATAATAATAATAATAATAATAATAATAATAATAATAATAATAATAATAATAATAA